CAGATACGGATTTCTTTCTGGAAGAATATTACTTAAAAACAATGTTATTGGTATGTCTACAAACATTCTCCATAGAATGATTTTTAATTTATCGATCGCGAAAAAGTGGTGGAAGTTACTTTAAAAAAAAAAAAAAAGAAAAGAAAAGAAAATCGTATCGCTTCGATTAGTTATTTTAGATAGTATTCCATTGTTCATTAATTTATTTTGATATTGCTCGAGCAAGAGGTTTAACCGCAATTCAGATAGATCACATCCAATAGGATTGTAATTAAATCCAGCAATCGGATTTGCGGACGATATATCAATAAACGCGGTATGTCGGTAGTAAGTCAGTGTTATTATACACCGCTAATACCAGAAACGTTCGAAACATTTTGTAGCATTCGTAATAATCGTCGTGAATGTACGCGATAATATCGGGATAACTCTCCTCATAAATTTTATTATTCTCATTTCGCGATGCATAATCTTATCGATCGAGTCCAACGATCGAGAACTTACTTAAATCCCTCGTTCGATAATACCATCATCGTCCAACTCTTCGAATTAATCATTAATTTAATGCAATTAATTCAACTAATCTCGCGGTAATACAAAACCGACTCTTTCCATCCATCCGCGTTATTATCCCGCTTCGAGATACAAATTCATCCCCGCCGCCTCTTACTTTCTCCGCGTCTCACTTTTCAAAGCGATCCATTCGACCCGTTCACCCCGGAAAGGAAAGGACTCGTGTGTACGCACGAAAAGCGTTAATCGATCGTGGAATTCGATTGTTAACGTCAAACCAGCTCGCAAACAATACGCACGCCACGTGAAACACAATCGCCACGACTAAGTCTCTTGCTCCTCGTCATTACTGAACCGGGAATAGAGAGAGAGAGAGAGAGAGAGAGAGAAGGTTAGTAGCCGCGGCGGTTTGCTCAAACTGCGACTACTGTTAATTTCATCGAGTGTGTCGAGCAAATTGCATCGGATTCGCCGGTTGCCCACTCCGTTAAATTATTAGGCAATCGGAAGTTAAACAGCGCCGTTTCGAGCACTTCTCTCTCTCTCTCTCTCGTTTCGCCTTGTTTTCATCGATTAGCATCGCGATACCAGACTTCTCTCCCGACAAAGCATCCCTTCGCGCCCTTCCAAACCTATTACCACGGCCAAATGGGAGGAATACGGTTATAATCCAACGGCCGATTGATCGTCGAGTAATATCCTATGTTTTATTCATTTCCTCCTACCTCTCTCTCCACGCAATCTCGTCGCATCGATCGTCACACTGTATTTGCAAGAGTCGATCCGACGATCCTTCCTCGCGATGGTTAATTTAACGAAAGGACGTCGCGCGTGATCGGTCGATTTATCGAGACGAGATATACGTATATTTTTCGTACAAATATTCCCAGGAACGAAAGGGGCGTATATATTCCGCGGGAATGATAACTCCTTTGTTGATGGGAACGGGGATATCGACATCGAAGATGAATCGCCCTATTTTCTCCGTTCGCCACAAAGATATCGTCTTTTCAGCTTTAACCCGGGGATGCACTTTATATTTCGACTTTTCTCCACTGCTTGGATCACAGAAGAGCGTCGTACGTCGTTTTGCCCATTAAAATGACAGCCCACCTTCAAAAATTGGGCACAAAAGAATACGATTATTTTTCTAAGTTTTGCGATCTAAATTTATTTACACAATTTATACACGGGACTAGGAGTTGGGGTGGAGTTTTGAGTGGGCTAGTTCCGGACTCCGTGATGCTCCTGATAGAAAGTCAACGAGCGAGTGTTCGAATTGCGATCGCGGTGATATATGGAGGCGCTGAAAACTCCATTCACGTCCAAGTTCGAGAGTTTTGCCCGATGGAAAATATATATACGTCGGATTTTTCTCGATTGAAATTGCCAGATATATATATATATATACATCATCGTGTTAACCGCTCCGTTAAAAATAACCCGCCCCCTTTGTTCTCGTTCCACGTCTCTTCGAACGAAATTACCCGCGTTATCGTTACACGAGCGCCACGTTTGCCGAGACGAGACGAGTAATTAAGAATCGAAGAGGCGTGAGATAAAGATGCGCGATTCTCGTGGAAGAAATTCGCCGTTATCGAGTTTTCTGGCGTTCGTTGTTGTGTAAAAAAAACTGTTGGGCAGAGTCGGGCAGAGTCGGATCGATCGCCCGCACGAATAATTGACGCGGCAAGTTAAACAGAGGGGTGGTTTTAGAAACGCCGAAACTACGATTGCCAGCACGCGAGCATTCGTTTCGTGACCAACCTATTTAATTATTATCCCTCGATGGAAACCGGCGCGATATTAACGAAACATGAATGCAAAATGGAAGCGTTGAAAATTGACTCGTCCCGAAAACCTTGTATTTTTGGAATTTGAACGGGGTTTAGCGATTAATCCGGTCTCCTAATTGTTACTTCAAGATGTTAAATTAGATTGTTATTATTATTATTATTAACGTTTGAATCGAACGTTTGATCGATTTTTAAAAAGTTTCATTTTTCGAGCATGAAGTGAAATCGAAAACTTAAAATTAATAATCCAATCTTTCCCACCTCGGTGTCTGAAACCGAATAAAATGCAAAATGTGAAAAATGAGCGAATGAGAAGCAGCAGCTATGTGAGTTTGAATCAAGGATCCTTCGATAATTCACGGGAAATATAAGGTTATATATCACGCAAGATTCGTAGACGTTCTTTTCTTAATCTCGATGAAGCATACCTTCCAACCCTGCGAAACGATTCGAGTCTGGAAGGATAAAGGCGAAAAGAATTTCAACTATTAAATTATAGAAAATTACGCTGCCTAAAAGGTCGCGATCGTCGGCTGGACCCCGCTTTTTCCTTCGATTCTTCGACCCTCTTTCGTTCCTCCTTTTATCGCCTTCGATCCAAACCCCTCTCACGAGTTATAATTGCGAGCCGGAGAGCATCGATGTTACCCCTCTTCGCAACTTCCCTCTCTTCCTTCTCTCTATCTCTCGTTTCGTCCACTTTGTTTATATAGCTCGCACTTGTCGACAAGTTTCCCTCGATCGAGAATAAATTGGCTCACGTGAATTAATATATTCGAATAACTGTGAATAGATTCGAATCACGGAATAATTGTCATGATCGTATGAAAGATAAAAATTCGACTACTATTGGATTATCGAATGAATGTTGCGATTTGTTCAACTTGGGCGTCTTTCATTATTCAGCACATTCTGGAAGGAGAATAGACGCTTCTTCCAGTGATTATCGCGAAAGAAACGTTTCGAAACATTCGAACAGATTTTTTTCGTTGTAACTCTAAAGAAACTATAATGCGCATACATGGCGAAAACGTTCCTTTTCGTTATGAGTAAATCTCGTAAAATTATTTTTTTTTCACAAAAGTTTACGAGCCTCGACGCGTTACCAAAGTCATCATCGTCGCATAACTCGATATCGTGACACAGTCTTAAAATACTCCAAGCCGAAGGATCATCGAATTTCCATAATCCAAATCTAACTACAACCGATATCTGCTTATTAAAACGATCCGGGTATATAGAGGCAATTATTCAAATCCAGTCTGATGTTGATATCTACGCTCGATCCCTCCCCTAATATTCTCGTTAATATTAACGCATCGGGCTAATTATAACGGGTCACGTCGCCGCGATCAATTCATTTGTCCCTAATCGAGTTAGATCGGGAGAAACACGATACGAAACGAGACGGAAGCGGGACGAGAGCGGCAAAGACAGGCGTTGAATATCAAAACGCAAGTCCGCGTAATTAATCGATCCGGTCAGCCAGCCTAGACGTTTCGCTCGAATTTCTTCTTTATTGTGCCCGATCGCGCGCGAGACTAATGATTCGTTGTAATCTCGCTAATTAGCTCGAATTTGCGGTGCGGACGGTTTCGATTTACGCGCGATCGTATCGCGCGCTTCGATGCACGATGACGGAACCCTCGATTCCGAGTTACGAGTCATTCGTAACAGTTATTCGTCCCGATAATCGTGTCTCGCCATTGTACCGAGCAAATTTCGATTAATCGATTCTTCCTATCGAGTTGATAAATCGTCCGAATTGTAAATTGATTTTTATTGAATTTAAATAAAGATCTATCGATCTTGGCCACAATTCAATCGCAAGATGGAAGATTATTGCATTCGAGCGAATTTGCGGTATTTGTGACAAAAATTGACGAGTCGTTGTAAACTTTTGACGAATTCAAATAAAAATCTATCGATCTTGGCCACAATTCAATCGCAAGATGGAAGATTATTGCATTCGAGCGAATTTGCGGTATTTGTGACAAAAATTGACGAGTCGTTGTAAACTTTTGACGAATTCAAATAAAAATCTATCGATCTTGGCCACAATTCAATCGCAAGATGGAAGATTATTGCATTCGAGCGAATTTGCGGTATTTGTGACAAAAATTGACGAGTCGTTGTAAACTTTTGACGAATTCAAATAAAAATCTATCGATCTTGGCCACAATTCAAGATGGAAAAATTATTGCATTCGATCGCTAATTAGTTGGAATTTGCGACCTGCGCAGATAGGACGGTTTCGATTTGTGCATAATCGTAATTCGCGCAATCGGATGGACGATGATGGAAGCGTCGATTCCGAGTCATTCGTAACTATTACAAATAACTATTTGTCACGATAATCGTATCTCGCCTTTGTATCAAGCAAATTTTCATCAATCGATCCCCCCTTATCGAATCGAATTGATAAATCGTTCGAATTGTAAATTGGCATTGATTTTTATTGAATTCAAATAAAAATCTTTCGATCGAAAGTTATTGCATGCGACCGTTAATTAGTTCGAATTCGTGTAAAATTGATTCGAATTATTGGCGGCCGATGGAAGGATTTTTTTTTTTATTTTCTATAATTTTGACGAATAAAAATTGGATTTCGATCCTGGCGATGGATAATTCAATCGCAGGATGGAAAAGTTTTTTCTTTTTAACGGTGAATATTTGTTTGTCGGTTCGCAGAGCACACTTGCAAGGACTTCCGGTGCACCCAGAACGAATTTTGCATCGAGAGGGACCTCCTTTGTGACGGCGTGAATCACTGCGGCGACGAGTCCGACGAGGCTACCTCCACCCTCTGTGCCAGTAAGTTCTAATTACCACCGATTCATTTTCCACACCCTTTTCCCTCGAGGAGAGGGCTCTTTTCTCGGATTTCAAATGAAATACGCTGCGGGGCCAAATTGATTTGTAATCGAACCAGGATTATCGGGTCGCCGAATTTCTACTCCAGATACTGCTGCTTAAACCTCGATTCCTAATTTTTCAAACCGATTTCATAATCATACATATATATATATATTTAATTCGAATAAAATTTTGGATCGATTAATTGGTGTATTTTTTAGAGACGAGCAATGAAACGATCGAGACAAAGATTTATGGAAATATAAAATTACCGGGAAATTGATATCGCTTTGAAACGTTTATTAATTTTGATCGAATTTTTATTCCGATTAATTGTTTCGATAATATCCGCAATAAAGTAATAATCTGTTGCGGCCCCTGTACAAAGGGAATTTCAAAGAAAAACAAAATATAGGAAAACGATAAAACAGCGGAGGTCAGCGTTTCCCGTTTCACGAGAAGCGTTTTAATCAATTTCTGTTCCCGTCGATCGACGGCATTTCATCCCTTTCCCGCCATGTTAAAATCTATTTTAACATCAGACGTATCGATCACGGTTCACGTTTCCAAATCGGGGAACAACTTCAATGTATCTGTGCCTGCGTTTTATTTAAACGCAAAAATTAATCGTTTCCTTATCCGATTTAGTTCGAATAGCGAATCGCGACAAATACGCGAACTCGTTGAGAGAGGACTGGTTGGTTGCCAGCGGATAATAACGCAGCCAGGGTACGTTCGTTACGCGTTAGTCATAAATGTTGCGGATCATCATCAATCATTCGCAAAATTCATAATTAGTACGTAGTTAATGCTTTCATTTGAATAATTGTTGCATATCTTCACTATTGCGTCGCTTGTCAAAGCCCGACCGACCGTATCGTCGTAAATTCGTCGTAAATTCGATATCCGTAAACGTTTTACCACGCTGATCGAGTTAAAAAAGGATTTGCATTTCCTACATTTGCGAGGAATACTTTGAGAGAAATATGTGGAAGATGGAAAAATAAGATGGAATAATCGATCGAAAATTCTTTTCCTCCCTCGAGAAGATAATCCAACCACGTTCAAAGCGGCGACGAGTACAACCTCCAAGTACAAAGTCACCGACTTTACGCGAAATTTCTTTTTCTCTCCTTTCTCGTCGTCGCTTTCGTTACGGTAATGGCGTGTCGTACGACCCCTAATGATAAAAAAAAAAGGGGGGGAGGAAAAAAAGGTAATACACACGGAAGCGGGTATCGATCTCTCGATTCGACGAAACTGCGTGCACGTTTCGTTGGCGGAGGGCGGTTTCTCCGTTGGCCGCTCTCTGGAACGCATTGTACAACGGCCGGGGGGAATTAATTCTCCTCCGTTGTCAGTTGACCCGACACTTGGCAGCAAGATGAACTGCCGTTGCTATTTTAATCGGGGGAAGGAAGGTGAGGCGAGTCGCGTAAGTGACGCCACTTCGATGGGAATAGGCTCAAGAATTAGAAGAATAATGTAAAGGCGAGGGCGTTCGAGGGAGTGAAAATAAATTCTTTCCCTCCGTGTTTCGTATATATTGTTATCCCGATGCGTTTTACGATATTTGCAATGTTTACACGCTAGTATGTTTAGAGATAGTTGAACGTCGTTTACGATGCTACGAATTATTCATAACGAAAATACGATACGTGTTGCACACGCGGCAACCAGCCTATATTTATTAATTTCACGTGATTGATGGTTTTGCTGGCGCGATGTCGTATAATATTTATCCAACTATCCCAAAATTAATAGCTCGAAGAGTTATTGACGTTTCTATACCAGTTAACGCGCTAAATAACCACACGTACTCGTTTATAATAATCGTGTAACCCTTCCGTGAATAATGGACAGTCATTAAAGGTATAACGATTTAACGTATAACCGAGTTCTGTTAAATCATTCTACGAATAAACTTTGCTCGTCTCCTCCCCTATCATTTCCCATGTTTCGTTTCGATGAATTTATAGAAAAAAAAAAAAAAAAAAAGAAAAGAAAAATTAGATGAATCCAATCACGATCTATCTGCTCAGACGTTTAGAGATTAAAATATCGTCGATAAAAAAAGAACTTATTATCCACTTGTATCAGAAATCATTAATCTCGATATTTCGAAGTTTAAAATCTATTATACCTGATTACTATTCATATTCAGATAAATTTTACAAACTTGGAGTTAAAAGTATCTTCTGAACTAACGACCCTTTGACATAAGTAGATCAACTGTTCAGGAACAGCATTATAAAGCATCTTTATTAAAAGAATTCTCCTCTCAACTCGGTATATATATAATTAAACTTTTTAAAGAAAAAACAATCAGCTAGCAAAACGTAATATAATCTCATTTAAAAGAAACATTAGCACCCATTCGCGCTTCTTCTGTTGAAGAAAACTTGAAGCTTAACGCATTATCAAGCGTATGAAAAAGGCGGAATGATTTGATTCTCACACTTTTTCACAGACTCGGAGGCATCGACGATCCTGGGCATGCAGACGATCTGGTTCGTGATCGGGCTGGTGTTTCTGATCCTGAGCGTGGCAGGCCTGGTCACGGCGGCGGTCCTCTGCTTCTGCAGGCAGCGTGCAGCAACCCCTAGGCACCCCCACAACGCGCACAACGCCCAGACACATCCTCCGGTCAGCTTCCCATGTGAGTTTCGCAAAAACCGCCTGTCTCCTTCTCTGCATTCCCTCGTCCATTCTCTCTTTCTTCCCCAACCAACGAACGATGAAATTTTCCGCCCCGTTTCACGTCTTCCACGCCAAATCTCGAACCGATCCTCCAATCGCTTTCTCCTGTATTCTCGCTTTTGTTTTTTTTTCTTTCCGTTTCTTTTTTCGTTCGTCGGATGGGTTCGGGGATTTGGACGAGACAGTTTTGTACGATGAATGTACGTTCATAATAAGGAAAGTCTTTTCCAATTGGATTATGTATATCGTGTGAATAATACTGTGCAAGAATCGTCACTTATAAATATAAGCTTTCTTTGTTCGATAAATGCATTTTCTTCGAAAAGGGGAAAGAACGTTTGTCATCTCTATTTTTTACACGATGAATAATCATGAAAAATTAAAAAATTAGTCGGTCGTATACGGGAGAAACGTGGAAGAAAGATAAGAGAATGGAGCCACGTGGTTATTAATTTGATGTCTGAAATTTAACGTTTAATTAGAAGCCTTAAGATTCGCATCGGGTCGAGCCGATGAACGAAGGATGCGCGACCGGCCCCGTTAATTGCGTATAATTCGACGCGCGGAAACAGCGCGCACGATTTTAATAGTACGCCCGTCTAAATTAATTCATCAAAGCGTCTAACTAATTAGTTTGACGCGAGATTAATTTAACGTCGGGGAGCAGGGGGTGGAGGAATTAAACTCGACGAAAGCTCTCGCGCACGCAACATCTCTCCTCTTCTTTTCGATGAAACGATTAAAACGATTAAGCGTTCGTATTTACGTTTCTCTATTTACCTAATTCGGTCGATTTCGAAGCTGTATTCCAAATTGAAATTGAAATTATTCTTGTTACAGAGTATAAAGTTCATTTTATTTATAACTTTTATTATCGAGTGTTGCTAGCAGTGTCACTATTTCATAGTTGGTATCTTTTGTTTGTCTTCGATACAAGATGTTTTGTTCAATATTTCATTTATAACCAATCAACGATTCTGATGAATGAGATGGACGAGCAACGTGTGTACTCCTCTTCCCTAAATGCGATTCGAGCAACGCATTCTTCCAATTTGGAAGAACGATCCGGTCTTAAACCGTCGTCTAATCGCGAAAGTTGATCAATTCGAGCTTGCGAGAATTACGCGATCCCCTGCGAGTTTGGCTGCCAGTTTCAGTTTCTCCTCGTCTCTCCTGATTGTTCATTACCACGCCTCTCGACTCGTGGTTTACACTTTGGAATTTAACGCAACAGAGAGTTGGTAATGCGGCGCGAAAATTGGCGCACCTGAGGCTACCGCTATACGCGGTATTTAATAATAAGTCTCTCCTTGGGTCGGGAATCGTCGTTCGGCTTCGCGTTGGATCAAATTTGTTCCACGAGTTGTGCCTCGTCGCGACTTGCCATATTCGAGCGATATTCGAGTGGGGCAAGATTGGATACGATTTTTTTCACAAACTAAATTGGGAAAAATTCGTGAGATGGGAGCAACGGTCGAGATTAGAAATTAGAAAATAATCGAGAAGATGGAGCGATCGAAACGAAAGGATTGGATAATGATCCGCGAAATAAATCTTTTCTCCGCGAAAGCGGATAATTCAAGCTGGATACTCGATTTCTTTCGCAAACTAAATCTAAATTGGGGGAAAAATTCGTGAGATGGGAACAACGGTCGAGGTTAAAAATTAGAAAATTCGTCGTAATCGAGGAGATGAAATATTTCATTTATAACCAATCAACGATTCTGATGAATGAGATGGACGAGCAACGTGTGTACTCCTCTTCCCTAAATGCGATTCGAGCAACGCATTCTTCCAATTTGGAAGAACGATCCGGTCTTAAACCGTCGTCTAATCGCGAAAGTTGATCAATTCGAGCTTGCGAGAATTACGCGATCCCCTGCGAGTTTGGCTGCCAGTTTCAGTTTCTCCTCGTCTCTCCTGATTGTTCATTACCACGCCTCTCGACTCGTGGTTTACACTTTGGAATTTAACGCAACAGAGAGTTGGTAATGCGGCGCGAAAATTGGCGCACCTGAGGCTACCGCTATACGCGGTATTTAATAATAAGTCTCTCCTTGGGTCGGGAATCGTCGTTCGGCTTCGCGTTGGATCAAATTTGTTCCACGAGTTGTGCCTCGTCGCGACTTGCCATATTCGAGCGATATTCGAGTGGGGCAAGATTGGATACGATTTTTTTCACAAACTAAATTGGGAAAAATTCGTGAGATGGGAGCAACGGTCGAGATTAGAATTAGAAAATAATCGAGAAGATGGAGCGATCGAAACGAAGGATTGGATAATGATCCGCGAAATAAATCTTTTCTCCGCGAAAGCGGATAATTCAAGCTGGATACTCGATTTCTTTCGCAAACTAAATCTAAATTGGGGGAAAAATTCGTGAGATGGGAACAACGGTCGAGGTTAAAAATTAGAAAATTCGTCGTAATCGAGGAGATGAAGCGATCGAAACGAAGGGATTAGATAATGATCCGGGAAATAAATCTTTTCTCCGCGAAAGCGGATAATTCAAGGTGGAGAGTTTGAATTCTACCCGTTTACTTTGACCAGGGAATCGAGGAGAGGGTGTATTTCATTCGGTTGCACCGCACGGGTGGTTAACGCGAGCCGCCGTCCTTTCTTGAAAATTTATCCTCGGCCTCGCGTGCGAATACGAGGCAAACGAATACGTTTCACCGGTAAATACGTTTACGACCGATCATAAATTTCAACATTCGCTCTCGTTCACCTCCTTCCATTTTCCATCTCTTTTTCTTTTACACCCTTATTCATCGTTATTATTGTTATTTTTATTATTTCCTCTCTCTCTCTCGAATTTTCACCGCCCCGATCGAATCTACGGTAATCTCTGTTGCATTAACCTGGTCAGCCTGGTTCGGCGAAAATTTATTATTTTCCATTGGACTTTGGAGCGGGGCGGAAATTGCAGGGACGAGGAAAGCAAGGGGTGCAACGAGTAATATATTACGGGGACACGTTTTATGTTGGCTCGTGTAAAATGGCCGGCGATAGGTGTCTAATACATTCCCCGCGCGACAAAGCGTTCTTATTTTCGCCAGCACGAGGCAACGGGGAATAAGAGGAGCGGAATCGCGTGAAAATTGATGCGGCACTCGGTGTGTATTATTCGTGGTGATACAATTCGTGGAATAAAAAAAAAGGAGGAGAGAAGATAAATTAATAGCGGAGAGATAAGAATAGCGGAGGAACACAAAAGTCGCGAAGGATTCTTCGTTATTCTCTTTATTGTTAAGGGGCCCATTATCGGGACACAAATTTTTACGTCGTCGTTTTTTTTTTTTACTTGGAAAATGCGAGATCGGTCGAGGGAACAAATACGCGAGGAGAGGAGAAGTTTAAGGTTCCGTGTCGCGTCGGTGTGCGCCAGTTCCTCTGAAAACTTCTATATATTGTTACGGAAAAGATAAAGAAAGTTTGAAAGATGTTTGCCTCTGGCTTTATGTACCCAACGTGTACGGGTTATAAATATACCTTTGTATGGAAACGTCGTTGCGCAGACGTCTCGTACGATATTTAAATAATTACGATTCAATTTTTCAGGTGTGAAGAAAAGAGTGGTTGAACGATTTTCTAAAATTCGAACGGATCGCGCTACTTTTATACGTCGTTTCGCTCACTTTTTATAGAGTGATACGAAATTTTTCATCGGAATTTAACCGCATCGTATCGCTGTAAATCCGCGGATTTTTAAAGATTTTTTAGGGCCCAACTTAAACTCTTATGGAACGATTATCATAATAATACCGGCGAGAAAACGATACGAGGCGAGCCGGTTACGCGAGGAGCAATATCATCGTGATTTCATCGCGCTGTATAATTTTCCACATCTGGATCAGATGCGTTTTATAGAATATCGAAGGGGAACGAATACGTGGTCCGCTTATAACGTTCCATTTCACCGGGATTGTTCGACTGCAGAAATCACCGCTTTCCAATCTCGTCGTTGCAACGATCGCGCAGATACGCAATTTTAAGATGATCGCCAGCATTTGCTTTTGTACTCAGCTGTTACGTTTTGTATCAAGCCGAGTTTCGGCAGAGATATATATATATAAAAACCGATGTCCACGAATTTTCTTCTTGCACGGTGATATTAGTGAAATGGGTCACCGGTTCCTCCTCTTTCTCATTTTCTTTTTTCCCCTATCCTTCTTTCCCTATCCATTTCCATTGCCTCGTACGCGTGACAAATTTCTTTCGTTCGAAAATAAACTTTTCCTAATCGAAACGAAATTCGCGAATCGTTTGATGCAATGTTATTCGATTATACCTATATAATTGCACCTAATCTTGCGATCACAATTGAGATCACATATTATGCATTACCATAATCGCATTACGATCGTTGCGCATGAAATCGTAGTTACGCTGGACTCTGGTTGATTAAAAATATACCTTCCCCCGTCGAGCTTCCGCTAATTTTATTTCCAAATCGACGTTATTGATAATACCAAACGTTACATTTAGAGAATATTAACGAATAATAGCGGCACAATTATCGGCTCCCAATTGGTCAACTGCTAACGCAATTACTCGTTAACGCATATTGCCACGTTCATTTGCCTGTGTTATAACAAGCATCTTTCCATACCACGTGCACATATATCGTCAATACACACGAATGTACAAAATTTTACAATTTTCCACGACAAAACCGTACAAAAGTTTCAATGTCCTTCCTTTTTATTTATCGCTTCTTTTTTTTAAATCACGATTAAAATTGTATACACACATACACACACACACACACACACAGCAGGTGTCAGAGTTTCACGGAGTAAATAACTGTGTGGCGGTTATTACACTGGGGCATCTATCGGTCGGGCAAAACCGGCCCGGTGAATTTTAAGTCCGTGGCAATTAATAACGCATTGTCGTGTATTGTAATGCATATTGCGCGGAATTAAACGTAACGTATGATCGACCGCAAATTCATTT